GAAGAGAGGTCAATACTGGGGTTCTGGTGTTCTTTCTGTTATTTACAATGACGGTTGAATTTTACTCACTCCTGTTACTTGTGCTTCAGGTGCTGAAAAATGTTGAGGAAGTGGAGAGCTCCCAATACTAGCAGGAATTGAACTTTTGTCATGTGGGGAAGAAGATTGCATTCTTCAAGTTTTATGATTAATGTATGTACTATCTTGGGGGATGAAATCGTACTACTGAGGAAAAAACAAACTTCAAAAAACATAGATTTTTGAAGCAGCTGTCAGCTGAGTTTTTGTCAGCTTGACCACATTTGTGAAAGAGGATGATTTGCAGAGAACATACTGGAACAGTCCATTCCTGGTAGCTTTTGTGTTTGTTTTCAAAGCAAGTGGAATCCCATGGTGCTGTTACTTCTCTTGCGTCCTAAGGGAGATTCCAGGTTCTCTTCTCATTACAGCAGTACTGGTAGGAATGCACAGGAGTGTAACACGGAGGGGATGTTCCTGGGTAATGACGTGTTTTACCAGAAGTCATACTGTCCTTTTTAACTGTTCCGTGCTTGCTTTGCAGCTAGTGTTGATTTGCGTTGCGGCAGAAGTTACTCCAGTTCATGTAGCAAGAACTGGTTTATTTATCAGCAGTAAAAGTAAACGGTGTTTAAGTGGCTGTGTGACTTGTCTGATGGGTGCTATGAAAGTACTAGGTTGACAGCATTTGAGGACCATGTAGTTTACAAACTAGGTTGTGTGACCTCCCATGCTGCTTCACTGCATGAACAAGGTGACTTTGTGGGCAAGTCCTAGAAAACTGCTCTTCCCCCCAGGTTGTCACCAACACGTTCTTCCTCCTTTCCCCCCCCTCCCCAAGTTGCAGTGCTTTTCCAGCGTACTCTATGGTAATAAAACTTCGCATGGTTCCATGTGCCATCTCTATCTGGTTTATTTAATAAATAGTTTTTCACTAGAACCTGCTGCCAAGTGTCCTGTTGCCTCATTTATAGGCCTCTACCTACTTTGTCCTCAAGATTCTTATTAGAAACTTCTGAGTACCATAATATACAAATGTAGCGTGTTTGTGTCAGGACAAGTACTGAACTGTTAACACTGACAAATTCATTAAGTTGCTTTATCCTTTGTTTCTTCGAAGTGCATTACTCTGGTTTACCCCATCTAAAACTAGATTGTAAGCTCTTGAGCAGGAACAATCTTGGTTTGTAAAACTTCTGTAAAAAGTTACTGAATAAAACCAAAACACGAAGCTAAAGCTGCACTTCAGTGCAGCACTGTTGGTGGTCATTCAGAGTGTGTGTAGTGTCACTGTCTCTTCTCTGAGGGCTTATTTCCAGTATGCCTCTACGTGAGTGTGCAGCCTTGCATTCATAAACAACGCTTCCCGTATTGCATTTTAAGGAAGCACTGAATTTGTGTTAGTTTCTGGTGGCTGCTGTTCTAGAAAAGGTATGGATCCGAGCGCAGCTTGTGGCTAACGCGGCTCCGTAGCGCCCCGTGCACGTTGCTGCCACCAGTAGTGAGGAAGGAAGGTAACCTGTGTCTGTTGTGATTTCCTCTCTGCCCAGTGTTTGTGTCTGACCTTTTATAACCTCTTGCAGATACTCTTGTTTTCATTACTAATGTAACAAAAGCACAGCATACCACACAAATATTATGGACTACTTGCTTTACCATGGGAACAATATTTTAGTACGAACTCCCACGTGGGTATTTGCATTTTTTGTTGCCATGTCAACAGCTCAATCTACACTCCCCAGCTTTGCAATTTTCTAGCAGGATTAACAAGTTTTGGGTTGTTTTTTGTTTTGTTTTGTTTTTAAGTGTTGCCATTGTTTCTGCTTCAGAGAGATGCTTTTCTCCATATTTATATGCAGTAAGGTAAAATGAAGCCCTAATATCTTTTTCGGTAGGTAACTGGCTCCAGATTAAGTTTGATACCATGTCATGTCCTTTACACAGTGTAGTTCCCAATTTGTATACTTCAAACTTTGGTTTCTTGAAAGTTATGAAAGCCAAGACAGACCTTGGTCAGCGGTTTCCCACCCTTTGCAACCCTTTCAGTTAAAGTTTCCTCACCAGTGCTGTTTTCCTGAACAGCTCCTGAACTACTGTACAGTGTCTCCTTTTGTATATAGCTTGAAAATACAGTAAGGCCACTGTATGAAGCATATTAACAGTGGCTTCAGGAACCCTTTGTCTTGGCAGGAAAGCTCACTATAAAACCTCTTCTTTCCCTGTCTGTCTAGCCAAACTTTCACAAATAACTTAAGGACATGAAGATGTAAGGCATAGCCAAGACTAAACAATATCTGGGTTGTTTTGGGTGGGGTTTTTTTTGTTTGTTTTCTTTAAATACAGGCTAGTCACAGAAAGGGAAGACTTCAAAAAGTATCACCAGGTTTTGGGTGAAACTTAATGGTAGTCTACTAAAATTGTGAAAAAAACCAAACCCATAATTGTTTTGAATTCAGCATACAGGTTTGTCTTTTCTGTGGGTAGGTAACTGAAGGTTTGAGAAAAATATGTAGCACATCTGGACCCAATACTGTGTCATTAGCACTGTTGTAACTTAACAGCCCATCCAAAATTAGTAATTCGCCTGAGAGGTTTTATAGGGATAGTTACCAGTTGAGTTCAATTGAGATTTGTATGTAAAGTTCTTAAAGAGAAATGCAGTTTATAAATAGAAGAGTGGAATTACCTGCGCTACTTTCCAGTCTGCAACTTTACAGGTAATGGAATGGGGTTGGGGCTGATATCTGGAGTACGCTGCTTTCTGTTAGGATTGCTCTCTGAAGGAGTTCCTTATTTTCAGCACGTACCAATATTTAACCGTGTAACTGTTGCCCAGCTGGCTGGATGCTTTTCTTCATTAGTAGTTTGCTTTACAAGAGTCCATAGTGCTCACTCACTGCTGCGGAAA